GCATCCCGAGAGGTAAAGATGAAGTTTAATAATTTAACAAGATTAACTGCCATTTTAACCTGCTTACCACATAATTTTTTTGCCTAACACGGGTTCAAACATTACGAAAACAAATCTCTAAACGAACTTTCACTTCTTCATTTTACTAATTTTCGCGAGAATTTCATCTACTCATTTAAGTCATTGTGTTGTACTTCCAGAAACATCAAATGCAATAGCTAAAAAACAATTTTTGCTCATCTCAAGGTTAATGCACGGATTTCTGCTACGGTGGGAAATAGAGTGACAATACGATACTGTCGAAAGGTTATACCTGAGTAAAAGATCATTAAAATACTGCCAAGAGACCTTACAGGGGCGAGATATTAAGTAAAAGTACCATAGTTTATAATTCGCACCAACTGGATATTAAAATTATCTTCCAAAAGTACCTGAACACTTTCCTCGAACGGCGTTTCAGAACCTTGTCTCATAGTCACTGTATCAGGCGTTTTTAATTCATCTCGTTTGGTAGCATCCTCTTCAGCTTTGAGTTGACGTTCCAGCAATTCGGCTGTTTCTTCCGGTAATTTACCTCCTTCTTCACGTAATAACTCCAGCTGTTTCCGCATTTCAGTTATGCTTCTGAAAAATATACATGCAAGAGTTACAAAAAATCATATATATATATATATATATCATATTGAAAATGTCTTTAAGGAGAAATTAGTTAACATAAATGACGCTATTGTTTTTAAAGGATCTTCTGCCATGTACCTTCATATCAATGATGGAACAAAAGTTCCCACTACTTTTATGAAATTGAAACAATTCGATATGTTGAAATTATGCTCAGTCTGTTGTTGAAAAAAATATTAAAAGACTTGGAAGTTTATTAAGTCGCACATGTGAAGGAAAAAAAAGCCTGACTTCAATTGTTGTAGAGCATTATGAAATGTTTCATCCATATCAGGAGGAGACTCTACAACAGGCTGCACCAATTTTGCTCGTATTTCTCGCATACGTTCTTTACGCGCTGCAATTGCAGCTAATTTTTCGCTGCAAATAATAATAATTGTAGGCTTTATTGCAAATTCAAAAAAAAAAAAGATTAAAGAAACATGTACAGTGGTGCCCTTAGATTTGAAATTTTAATCTATTTACGTGAGACACAGATGATAGAATCATCAAACCAAATAGAAGTTTAGATATTTCCTTTAAGGAATTTCTGTTCACATAAATCTTATTGAAGTGAGACTTAAAGTCAGCATGCATGTATGGAAGAAAAAAGTTTCCAGCATAAAGTAAATGAGAACTATGAATCAGACTTAACAAGAAAATTAGATTGGGTCTAATGTTCGTTATCGAGCAGTATTACGTTCCAAAGCATTTAAAACCAAATGGTTTTATACATTTCCAGATAGTTTTTCCACTTTTCTAAATTCAATTTTTTTCAAATACGAGATTAATACCACAATCTATCACTGCTTAATCACTGTTGTGAATAAACAATAAAGGACTGCCGGTGTTTCTCATGAAAATTAAGCAGCGCAATGAAAGAAACCGTATAGATGAGTTGATTGTATCAGACTCCTTTTTCTGCAGTTGTTGTTGCTGTTGTTCACGTCCTTTCTTGCCTTTTCTCTTTTTTTTTCCCATAACTTCACCATTACCCGCTATTTCACAGGTTTTTCCTTCCATTTGTTGCTGCTGTTCAACTTCTGTTTGTTCATTTGTCTGAACCGATGGAATTCGTTCAGCTGGTGCCAAATCATTCGGTACTGGCGGTCCATCATCATCCTCCAACTCGGTGTTTTGCTGCAAGCAAAACAAATCAACCAAAATTCAGTTTTTGGAAAGTATTTCTGAAATTATAAAAGATTGCGGATTTTTCCGGAATTTATCGATAACGACATAAGTAATAGTATTTGAGATATTGGTTCTGAATATAATCTTTAAAACTCTTGAACCTTTTTTTTCCTCAAATAATCATTTAAAGAGAAAAAACAATAAACTTAGATGGAAAAATTACAAGAAATGTGCTATATATTTCCATATCTAAAGCTTTTCACATAAAATCGTAGCATTATATGAAGCTTTAAGAAGCTCAAAAATATAATTTAAAATGATAAGGATGACCTGAAATCAATCACCTTTTTCTTCGCCTGTAATTTAGCCCGTAACTTTGCTTCAGTGATCGATTTTGGTTCCGGTTGCGGTTCAACAACAATATCAGGCTCTGATGCTGAACCAGGCCCCAACTTGATACCACGGCGTTGCGCTTCACGTCGCAATCGTTCCAATGTTTTACGCTTTCTTTCCACTTGCTCTTGCTCCGATGTAACTTAAAAAGTAATCATCCTGACAAATATGAAAATTTATGACATATGCATTTAAGTGAAAATGGACATAATGCGTTATACGCAACACAGGAGAAAGTCAAGACAAAAGCGTAACAATAAATGGTCGCAAATGATCTATGACACGTTGTTGTGTGCTAGAAAGATAGTAAAGTAGATGGAGAAAAGCGGACGGCAAATGTTTCCGGTGGAAGAGTGAACTAAATTTCTGGGAAATAAGAACAACTGTTCAAAATAACTAAACCAAAATCACTTCAAAGCAATATTTTCCTAAGATTGTGGGGCGACCCAACATAATTTGCTTATTTAATGCTGCATTATTGGATATCCGCTGAGGAAGCAGTAGGAATCAAAGTTTTGGTTGATCTGATTGAAACTTCCAAACATCAGTTGCTAAACTAACTCCCATTAACAGGGTACCTTAACAGGGTACCGTTGATGGATCTAGTCGTCATTCAGTCAGTTAGTCAGTCGGTCAGTCAGTCATGCATCTAGTTCATCACTCAGTTAGTCAGTCAGTCATTCAGCCAATCAATTTATCACAGCCGAGTTTTAAAGAGTGGATATTTTTAGCTGAAATACTTCTGCTCTCTGTATCCCTTTTTCTTTTTAATTTGTCATTGTAATAAGCTCAGAGAACAAAATATTCCAAGTGTCACCGAAGAACAACTGTCAAAATTTCCGGAAAAACGTTGTCACGAAAGAAAGCCGCAATAAATATGTTACACTGCAAGACGTACATTTGTTTTACACAATCAGTAGTTAATTATCTCCTAAAAATTTAAATTATTTAACATCCGACAACAATCGTAAACTAAAGAAGGATGACGAAACAGTCTGAGGGATCTCGAGAGAGACATCAAATACTGATAAAAAAATATCAACTGCAAAAAAACCCGATTCAATTCTCGACCCAGAGTCCTCGCTTTTTCATTCCATGAGGCCTACTACTATCTTCTCAATTATGATATCCTGCTTAATTCTTCAACTATCACAGAAGATATGAAACTTCATGATATTGATTTGGAGAGTGCATGTTTTTTCAAAGCAGTAAGAAAATTATTTTGGTCAAGTTCAAAAATCAAAACCACCAATATTACTAAGGTTATTTTAATATATTGTACACTGAATCTAAAAGGAAATAGCATTAAAAACTGGATAGAAAGGAAATGAGTTAACTAGTAAGAGATACTGTGTGCTTACTAAAGCATTACTTGGGCTTCCTCGCAGATGGGAATGGATGGTAAGTTAAGGTATATCTTACAGTTGACAAAATCGATATGCTCAAGCTAACTAATAAAAATGTTCAATAAATGTCTCTAAGGAATAAGGGAGCATAGATACAGAAGGGAATTTGCAAGCGAAATGGATAAGAGGAGTAGGATGAGCCTATAGAGCTAAGCAAATGAGTAGATTTGGATAACAGATAGACAGAAGAAGATGCAATCCACGGTAGTTCTTCCTTCAGACGACAGTGAAGATGTCGTCTATTCTGCTTTCCTCCAATCTCCAATTATCTTCAAATTGAGCACCTCAGTGAATTCTCGAAAAATCATTATAAATGAATGCAAGCGCAACTATCACATGTACATTTTCATTGAAATTGGCGAGCATTTTCAAAAAACTCTTATAGACGCGAAGCTAATTTAAAAAACACATTATTCTGATGGAAAGATCCATTTCTATACAATCGGAAGATGCCACAACAGAAAACAACGGAAACAATGCTAGCCAAATAGATTCCGCCAAATAGCAGCTTTCCAAGTTACAGACAAGCAAACAAAACAGAACATACACAAACATACACGCACACATGCATACATTCGCATTTATACATAAACATTCGTACATGCTAATGTATAGACATTACTTGAAGGAGGCTGAACAATGTTTTCCTGTAATGAACTATATTTCGCCACTTTTTTCACTTCTCCTTTCCCGGCGATTCTTCCAGAGAAATGGAATTGGCACGAAATGTGGTAGGAAAGAAACATGATGCTAACACACATGAGATGTGCAAATTTTCACTCTCTTCTTCTGTATCGCAATGTCAAAGTCCTGATAAAAATTGTTTCCGACAAAATTCCTGGCAGTGATGAAAAATGTCTACGAATTTCAAAAGAATATGGAGAAATAGAATGCTTAGTACTCCAAAAAAAAATCTGATTTCAATAATTCGATATGAAAATAATAGTGGTTGAACAGTATCGAAATAAAACCAAAAAAGCGTCAAATAAGTCAAAAAGAAGTAGTTACAAGTTTGTTCGTTGACTTCAAATAAAAAAAAAAAAAACTCGTTTTCATCCCAACTCCTACGTGACAATTGTGAAACAATTAAACAACCGAGGGTAGGAAATATTTATTAGAATCAGTACTTAAAGACATCAGATCCACAAGCCACTTGTGCTTTTCTATACCCTGTTCTGTCACTACCTTAGAAAAGTGCCAGAAAAGGAATTCTTCATTGCTATGACTTTTTTATTTTGGACCAAAGAAGACTAGAATTTCAAAACTTCTCGACGACTTCCTGAATATAATTTAAAATTATAAATCAAAGTTGAAGCTGAAGCTCTACCTTTTAAACGAGCCATTTCAACTTGTTGTAGTGCCTCATCTGCTATACCTTTCTGAGTTTCCCATTTTCTTCGATGAAGTTCTTCGAGCGTAGCCTTCTGCAACATTTCAAATACGTAATGCCTCATCTGCTATACCTTTCTTATCTAAATTAATCCACATATTTTCGAACTGTTTTAGAGGACTTGTGAAGTAATGGTACTCACTATTTATTACTTGCTAGGTATATATACTGATGAAAGTCGGTGAAATTTGCTTTTATCAAATTTTAACAGCCCATCATTTATTAGAGTCGCTTGTTATTGATATACTTCATGGTTATTACCTCTCGTAAAATTCTGATCAAATAAGGAGAGGATGAATAAAGATATGAATATGATGTCTAGTAAAAACAAGGGAGAGAGTAGGTCAACTGTTTCTGTTTTCATTTCCGAATTTGTCACGCATCAGGTCGGGCATTGCCACTAACAAGTGAGCTTTGTAGAATGAAGCTTCAAAATGTATTTCAAAAACCTGTGGATCTAAAAATTAATGGATTTAAAAGTTTTGATATCTTCGTGATTCATAAAAACTTGTCCTACCAAAAAAGTTCAAAACAAAATATGAATAAAAAATCACCTTCTCACGATGCAACTGTAGTGTTTCTAGTAGCTTATCATTCATGATTGAGACGGCAACTGCTTTTCCTGTCACAACTCCTAATTTTGATAATTCACTGTTCATCTAAAAAAGGGTAATGCCATGAATTCTGCGGTAAACCATGAGCATCTAACTTCAACTTCATTGTTTTCACATACATACAAATTCACCTTAAAATAATTCAATCTTAGAGATTATCTCTACTGTCTATCTGAAGAAAGTGACCAACCTCTTCTAGATCATTATTGATTGCTTCATCAGATAACTTATCTTTCGACTCGTCACTACCCTCTTTCACAACGCTTTCATGTCCATGAGTGTTAATATCACCATCCGCCATCAATTTTTTGCCATTTCTTTCATTTTCGTGTTCCACATCCTCTGCCGCATTTTCACGTAAAATCTGAAAAGTATTTCGCATGAAAGAAATATCGTACTAGAAATTGTTAAAGCAAGTAAATACATTATTTTCTGTTATAAACTAAACAAAGCTCCAAAGTTCCTCCTTAATTTTGACAGTTAATTTGGAAAATCACAGTTTGAAAGTACTTTCAAACTCAACATCTTCTGAAGGAAAATGTATGTATATATTTAGTTGGACTAAAAACATATATACTTAAAAAAACATATATATTTTTTATCCTGGCGTCAACAGAAGCAAATTCTTTACACTATAGCTCAGAGTTAAACTTACAACAATTTTTTGCATTAGTTGCACGTACTGTTCTTCTTGTGCAGTGAGTGCATCATAGCTTGCAATCATTTTACTCATAAGCTCTTTGTTTGGAAACTATAAAATTAGCAGATGAGAAGGACAAAGTTGATAAATTATACAACCCATTTATTTATAAGGTTTAGTTTCTTTCTGGTAGGTCATTTGTGGTTGCAGACTGAAAAAAAAGAAAATGTTCCAATGCTCCGAAATGTATGAAATAATATACTAGAATTATTATCAGTACTTAATAATCTCTATACGCAAGTGACACATAAATCAATTTTTTTAAGATTAATTCAAATTCACCTCTCCTTCTTTCGCACTTTCTTTGAGTCCACGTAATGTGAATAGAATACGTTGCTTGTTTTCACGGATGCTTTCCAATCTATTCATTATATGCTTCTGATGTGACGGCTACAAATTTTCCTTTTCATCGTAATTTTTCACTTCTTATTTTACTATTTTAAGATGGCATTTAAAACAGAGGCCATTTAAAACAATATCAAGAGGCCATTTAAAAAAGGGCATTTAAAACAATATCAAGTATCGATGGCCAAATACTTGTATAACGTGAAAGAGTTGTGTCAAACAATAAGCTTATGCTTCGATAACGTCTACGACAAATTCAATATAAAGAAGTCAACACAATAAACTCTGCAAAGAAAACCATGTGGTCATCGGTCTGTACGGATTACCTAGTTTATGCTTACTAATTTAGTTTTGATATCGTCTTAATTTTAGCTTCTCAGATAAAATCCCTCAAATCGAAATGAACCTTACTAAATTATCCGACATGTCTGATTCCATTTGAGCATAATTTACGTCAGCAGATGAAATGGACAAAAGTGACGTAGGTGACGGTTGTGGCGGCCTATCTTCAACTGTTATTTCTACAGGAAATTGCTGTTCTGCTGGTGATTCTGGGATTGATTCTGAAACCGGATCTGTCTTCTCCATATTTTCCAACAGAAAACGGTACTTTTGGGTAACTGCGATGTAATGTTCAACAATCTTCAAATGATATCTCTCCTGTTTTCCACTTGCTCGTATTTACCTGAAATGTTGTACAACAGCAATTAAAAAATAAATGGTCACACATTTTCTAGAAAATCAAATCACGCAAAGTAATCGATAATTCTGAAAAGATTAAAATTAGTTGAAATTTTAACTATAACAAGATTCCTTTCATATGAAACTCCAGTTGCTATAAGTGGACTTCACTGAAAATTATCTTATATGTCAGCGATCCCTAAGAATGCTTCATTTACTCTAGTTACAAGTCTAGCTGCATGTTAAATTAACATAATCATTAACAAGGTGATCGGAAGTTTCCACTGAATATATAAAACGTACATATGACAATGAAATAGCACTTGCCTGAAAATCAAACACGACTATTCCGCCTCGCGTCAATGGAACAACTAATCCGAACTGCTTATTAAATACAATAAGAACCAATCGACCAGCTACAACCCTTACGTAATCCCGCATATTCGTTATCACGAAATACGTATATTGCAAAGCGTAGTTGACTAATCATTAAACACGGGCCGTGTTTCCCCTGCTCTTTATTGCTCCGTTTAGTCATCGGGTGGGTCGTGTGGAATCTGTTGTTCAGGAATTGAAATATTGGTGAAAACTGTCCTCAGTACACTAGGCCACATAAGGTAAAGGTCAAAGAATGGATAAGCCACATTTAGAAAGGCACTAAGTGAATCAAATAGAAGTATGAAATGACACTGGATGAAAGGAATTCTGGAGGCACTGTTATGACATAGTTTGAGGTGATCCTGTACCATTTAATCTCCTTCCCTCTCATGCAAGTCGTCGAAATTCTCTTTTCTATACAATTGTCTGTCTTGCTTCACTACCCCTTCCAGTCGGCCTTAGGTGTTGTCATTTGGCCATATTTAAGCTTTTACCAACCTCTTCCGGTCGTTCGTTATCTCATTTCCCGAGGGTACTCGTTCAGACTGTAAATTATCCTTGATCCGGCTCGAGTTCTGTTCTCGACCTCTGTTTACTTTCTCGAGTGCCCTATGCCTACTTAAACATACCATTTGTCCAAGTGCAATTGCTGGCCAACTATACTGTCACTGTCACGGTGAAATTATTGCTTGTTTGAAATTTTGAAAAAAATGAAAAGCAATCCAATATTGCGGAAGAAATTTGAATTAACTGAAGGAAAAAGTGTAAAAACTAAACAAAAATAAAATCAAAAAGGACGAACTATACTGTATCCTGATTTGGGTCATTAAGTTGTGGTCACATATCATATTTAAATGCCCGCTACCCCGTATCCTAACTGACCAGTCATAAGTGAGTGGAAAAGATGCATGGTGGTGATATGTTAACAAATCGGTGATATTTGAATCTTTCTCTGCAATAACACTTTCATCTCTCCACTTAATTAATTTGGATGTCATCAATCTCTGGCAACAGTTAGACAAACTATAGTTGGAATAAAGGTTGAGAATCTCATGAGAATACTGAAAGTATTTCATTTGGTAGGAATACTATCGTGAAGATGACAGAAAGTGACTTATCGGCCACAATAATGGTGTAATCGAAAATCTTCTCTTCCAAGAGATTTGCAGCAAAAAATGAAGTAAGACAAAATACATAAAGGATTTTGCATAATCGGTCACTCGCTTCAGCTGGACAGTAGAAAGTTTGTAACATATTCTTCAGCATATCACCAATTTTCCCATAATGGCATACTGAAGTATTCCTGGAATGTATTACATTTTAATACAAATCAAAGGTACTAGCTTCAGGGTATAAGCTGGTGTAATACTAATGAAGCTAACTCTTACAGTCGATATAAGCATCTTTATTTCATTAGAATTAATCATCCAACATTTAATGCTGCAATCCATTAGTACGCACTGACAAGCACTGATTTCAGCTTTTTTTCCTCACATTCCAATGCCGAAATTTTCTATGACTCAGCTCAAGACATACAAATTGTCATTCTCTGATCTGGTTGAAAAAATAGCCTAAAGCTTAAAACTTAGGCTTATAAATAAATAGGCTAAAATTCATAGATGTAACATATTTATAGAACAAGAAATAGGAGCAATGTTTCGAGATGTAAGAAACAAGTAAACTAATGGTTAATTCTCCTTTGTATCATTTGTACCTTTTGATCATCACGGAGGTGTCCAGCTGTTTGCCAAAGTCAATCAATTCTTCCTCATACCGATTCATTCTTTCTCAAATACCAATCGCTAAAACTATTTTTTTTTTTTGTTGAACTTCTAAAGACAGGATTGCTTTTGAAAATGCATTTTCAAACGTTTTTAATACATTAAAAGCTGTAATTTTTTCATTTAATGTTGTTAAGGTGAAAGGTAAAACTTTTTTAAATCAAAAATTACAATTACTTGTCATAAGTGATGTGAAATTTGTAATGATGAGATATGATATAATTTCAGTTCAGAGTTAAATTACCAATGGAATACTTTTTATAAATTACAGAAGAATTGGAACTTTCCAATCAAATGTTATGAATGCATGCTGAATGCAAAGAAGGAAAGATGATATCGGTTGTATCTAATCGATTTCTATTACTTATAAAGTTATGCAAATTGATGGAATTATATTACGTAAAAGTTATGAGTGCATTTAGATGGGCTTATTGTGGAATATTAGTCATTTGTGTGTGTCGGTCGTGCATCAGCGGCATGAGAACTAGTCGGAAAGCTGTTGAAAAAAGGTTTTTGCAATGTTTGTTTTATTAAATTTCAATTTTTAAACTTCATATTTTAATATCTGCAGAAATGTTAACAATGAAATGGCTGTACAAAGTGTAAATGCAAAAGCTATGGAAGTATCTGATACAAGTCAACAATCTGTTTCGAAAGTTCTTTCCTCAACACAAAAGTCTGACTCTGAAAAAACACAATCCATGGAAGAATTGGAGTCGAAAACGATGCACTTAACAGAAATATCTTCTAAAGCTGAAGAATTCTCAAAAAAGCCTAGCAAACATGGTTTGGAAACTCTCGAGAAAGACAAATCAATTACTTGTGTAGAAGAGAAGTTCGATAACGAGAAATTTAGGGATGATAAATTAAATCCAATAAAACATCATATTCCAACGAAGTCATCAATGCGTATCACTGTCCATCGAGGTAACAGACAATCGTTAATTAGGATCATTAGATTATCGTTTCGTTTATTCTATTACATATCATTATAATGCATAAATCTATCCTGTTAGATTATCGTTTTTATTTCTTTGACAGGACCAAAAAGCTGGCAAAATGGAGTAATAAGCATAAGACTGATAGATGATTAGGATGGCTTCAAATTTTTATCACTGTCTACTGTATGGCAATGAATTACTTGGTATTTTGAATAACGGCATATCAATTCATTTAAAGATCTTCCCGATTTTACGCGGGAAGAAACGGCGTCATCATTCACTAAACAGAATGATCCGAAACCAATTGCATATAATCTTTCAAAACGGAAAGTGAAGACAGCGGAACCATTAAAAACGGAAAAAATTAGTTATAGAGGGGAAAATAATCGATTGTCACAGCATCAAAATTCTGGTAAGTAGTGCGAAAAAATTTTGCAATAATCAGCTAAAACTATAGTCTGTCTATTACGAGAGGTTTTAAGTAATGTGTTTTCATTCAGTATCTACCGGAACGGAATAATAGAATTTATTTCGGCAACAATATCTTTACTTTACTTCATCATCATTTACATGCTTTATTGTCCGTTGCAAAAATCATATCAGTGCTATATCCACAACGTATTGAAGTATTGAAGTATGAGTTCAGTCTTATCACTTTATACGAGATCATTGTCAAAATAAAATTTGAATTATTAAGATAGCTTCTTAATCATATGTTTAATATCGTATAACAAATACCACTACAGAAAAAGGTACTGTGCAATACTTCTTTCCAAGTTGTTTGGAGTATACATTCTTACGCCTAATTGCTCTTGTCCTTCTATTTTGCGCTTGGATTATTGTATATGCATTTCCTTGTTTACAATTTACTTATCATATACCTGTAGTCAAAGGAGGTTTTCATTCTTCTTGTTAATGCATTTTTACTTATCTCATTTTCGTTTTTTTTTTTTTTCTTTCAAACCATCCTATTTGATGTTTATCTTCTATCTTAAAGTCAATATCCTCTAACATTGTCTTATAGAAATGATTAAATCAATCGCAGAAAAGATTCCAATGAATAAAACTTGTCGATTAACACCACATTGGTGGAATGATCAGGAAGCATTCGTTGGAAATATTATAGAAACTACTCGTTATTTCCAAGCATTAAATTTATCAATGAATCAAACTGAACAACGTTTTGAAATTTTTGAAGATGAAAATACTGTTAAAATATTGAAACCATTTAATGGACAAATGTAAGTATTTTTCCAATCCAACCTATTTAAGATAGATTTTACTTTTTGTTTCAGCTAGTACTAAATTTCCTCTGTGACTTTTCAATCTCATTGTGATATAAATGTGATAACGAATGATAAAAAAAAAAGTAATCGTCACGGGAATATTACGCAAATCAAACAAATTAAACAGATATGAAGCAAAAAAGTGGAGAGGCTTAGAGCGGTTATATTGAAGCTGAACAGCTGCTAAGTTATTACTGAGGAGCGGAAAAACATTTACATTTTGTTCATTTGATAGAAGAAGCCCAATTTTGTCATACTGTATGAATCGAAACATCGATGTATCTAAGGGATGGGTTGAGTAATTTTAGATTTGTCATATTTGGTTGTGTTGTTTTGGCATTTCCCATCTTATTATTGCTGATGTTCTTGCGTTGTATGTCTGAAGAGGAAGATTTGATGGAAGAAGCAATGTTTGATCTAGTTGAAATTTCCATTTTCTGTGTTTTTTCTGTCATTGAGGTAAACTTTTACGAATATCTGCAGGCCATCCACAATGTGTCTTGGCTTCTTTTAAAGAACTACTTGTGATCCATTCCTGTTTGTGACACCATATGATCTGAATTACAGATATCAGAAAGTTGTACTACTATGGTTTTACTTTAAGTGAAATTTACAGTTTTATATGTCATCAGGAGCAGAAATTCGAACTATCATGGATTCAGTGTGTGTCAGATATTTAGAACATATTAGAATCAATAGATTCTTGGTACGTACTGTAATTTATAAATTACTAGTGAAGGGGAAATATTTCTTCATAATTCCGGATTCGAATCTCTTGCATCGATTGGGTCTAAACTATGAATTTATGCTTACAGTTTATTTGTTCCCTTTAGTGTAGGAAGTTAAAATTTTAGAAAGAACAGGTATATAATATATGCATTGACGTGAAGATTGAAGCATACGGCTTTCTCGTATCCGGTTGTATATTTTTATTTCTTGTTTTCCTGTTCGCTGTTGATCTGATTATACTACTGAAGGTTTATTTCACTTTTTTTTTTCTCTTCTTCACTGACAATCAAAGTGAAAAAAAGGTCACAATTGACGTTCATCATAATTCATAACAAATTATGATCTACATCTATGAATTATTTGATAAACTACGAATGTTTAATTAAGAATGCAGAAGAGGTTGAATCACGGAAGTATTTGCAAATGGCAGCTTGTCTTCACTATGACAGACCTTTAAAATGTATGACAAAGTCAGTACTGGAAGGTGTTTTTGTCGAATCTACGCCATTCAGTTAGTGATATAACTTTTAGAATTTCTTTTATAATTTCATCAGGTTTATTTTATCCACTAGCATTTCATATTTCTTGTTAAATATTAAAAGAAATTTTTCTCATTCCGTTAAAAGGCTACAGAGCACATTTAAATTATATCTGTTAAAAAATAGTTAATACCGCTAATAATATTTCAAAATGAAGAGGAAAAATTGCCAGGAAATACTATTTTCAGGAAAAAAATGAACAATGAAGCCGAATATTAATAAAAAATAACTGCTCTATCATTGTTACAGCTAATTTTTCTTGTTATTGAAATCATTTTAAAATAAATGAACCAATGAATTTCGCTTATGCCATTTATATACCAAAACTATACAGGAAGGCTCATTTTTATTCACTTCTATTGTTTATGTTGTAAAAGTGACCTTAATATAATTATCTCTCTTATCAGTTCGTATCGGGAAGGATAAGGAATTTATAATATACTGAAGTGAAGTTACTGGAATCAAATCAAAAATGTTAGAAATGGAACAAACGTCTTCCTCGACCTTATTCTGTTTTGCAAATAGTAGGTCAAAATAGGCTAACAGCTTTATTGAATTCCTTAATAGTCGAAATGAAATACACTGTCATCTGATAAAAGAGAGTGATTCTCCAATTGACAAAGAGATGTCTTCTTCATATGACAAAGGATTTTGTTTTGTAGCTATTTTTCTGAGAAACAACGTCGAAACGTCAGATATCCAGAATAAATGCGTAAAATAAACATTTGCATTTGTAAGCTGTGGACCTATTTAGAGTAGTTCTCAATGACCATACTTTATCAGTAACTATTCGATCTTCCGGATTACTCCAACTGTAACTCATCAGAGTGGAAAGTCATTGCCCGCGTAGTACATTATCAATGGTACACGTACTGAGTGGAATCTCGACGTACGCTTGAACTGCGTCAGTTCGACGTTAACTTCCTTATTAAATGACTTTTAACTGATTAACTGAACCCAACAAAGTTGTGACACTTCCAACAACGCACAGTGTTGGCCAACCGGAAAGTACCGGTCGGTCTGAAAGAAGCGATGGAGAAGAAGTGTTTGGGAGGTGGGATCGAGGTTTTGCTGCTTTATGGTAACATAGATTTGTAGCCAATTACCTAATTCTCATTACTCTGAACTTGACTACTCTTCCATAAACACATCAATTGTTTAGTCATGTACTTCACTTCAGTCGTTCTAAGCATTTGGGCTGTCGATGGGATCGTCCATTTCTGACATAGTTATATGACTATTCATTCTGATCGTACACTATCCGTTTTAATTTCCAGATCATTTCTTGATTGGCCAGGAAAATGGAACGATTTCCGGAGCGAGGTCGCGAAGCTATTGCCAGTGTTCCAGTTGTTGCTAGCACGTCGCCATCAAGTTCGAGTTATCAATGCAAGGTTATAATTCACTCAACTTTTTTCTTCGTTTTTTGTTCGATTCTTTAACAGGTAGTATCAGCGTTCTTTTAATCTAACTTATCAAATATAAAAATATAAACTACGATACATGGATGAATGAATGTGAAGAGTGATTTGTTGAAGGAATGTATATTATATGGAAGCGTGCTAAAGGAGCATGAGGAGAAACTTCTGCAACGATTACGTGGTCTCTGCGACCCGGGACAACATTCATTCAATGAACATGAAATGGTTTTTAGCCTTAGTATGTTAATTTAAGTTACTTTTGCACGTGATTCTTGGCGTTGGATGATATAGTCCGAAATTAGAGTTAGTCTGGCTTTCTTTTTTTTTCTGATGGCTATATGTATAACATATCAATATGTCGGTAAAAATAAAGCATTGGGGAAGGTAAATCTGCCCCTCATCTGTTTGGTATAGTGGAAGAAATTTTTACCACAACAGTATCGTGTCAATGACACAATTCTTTATCCTCTTCATCTTCAATTACATGTCACCTTTTCCAGAAACAGGCCAAGATCCTGACGTAACAGTTCGCTTAAGGCGAAAATTTGGCGGACCAGATGCAAACAGTTTTCAGTGGCATTTCCGATATATGGGAGCAGCGGAACCAGATGTTCACTGTCCTACCATTATACGAAAATCCATTGATTCACTGATTTATTCTAGTAATATGATGGAATTTGTAAAAACATTAGGACTGAGGTGAATCTGAGTTTTTACATCTTCCTATATTTTTATTTTATGCTAGATTTCCAAAAGTCAGACATGCCTTCCGAAACTTGATATGCCAACCAATATTTACTTTGCAGTATTTGCTGCGTTGTTAGACGTATGCAGTGTGAAGTCATCACGGAAATTTCTTTTCTTTTTTTTGAAGATCCTCATATTCTCTTAAAAATCAAGTCAGGGTTTTTTCTTATGATTTACTTTCAGGATGGATTATGAATACCTTACAAAAGGATATCTATTTACAAAAGGACATATAAAGGTGAATGTTGTTGTTGATTGATTGAAGGAATTTATTATTCCCATATTCCCATCATGTTCGATAAAAATATCTTTCCAACTTTGCCATTCTGACTGCTAAAAAGCTTTATTAGGATCAAATTTCAGATTATCATTAACAACATTACACGAACCGAGAAAATAGGAACTTATGATCCTAATGTTTTGAAACCATTATCGGATTCCTTATTAATCGAAATGAGCACTGCTCTACCAGATACTAAAGAGTATATGACAACAGCCAAAGCACTTCGCTCATTTGCGGATCAGCTCAGCCCGTAAGATGCATTTGTTTTTCTACTCTCAATCAAAAAGATCTCCCAAAAACTAATCCACCGGTTTTATTCTGTTCAACAATTTTATTTGTTTGCATCCGGTAAAAGTAATTCTTATTCCGAATCTTGTTGAAGAACAACAGTGGTGCCTAGTACTATTTAACGAATAATATAATAATAGTAGTCGAGGGAGGGAGAGGGGGCTTTCCTTGAACTCCGCTGCGTTAACTTTCCTCTGATTAATATATGCGCGATTCTAACAGATTTATTCCATCTGCAGTTGCTTCAAATTTTTTCTTCCCGGTTCCTTTTATATTTCCATCCCTTCCTCGACTTCTGAGACACTGAGTTGTTAAACTAGAGCGACAAAAAACAGAACCGTCAAATGAATCACATGGACATTTTTTTTTAGGATTTGCGATATGCAGAAGGTGGAATATTGGAGACGATTGCAATAATATCTGAATTGTTTTTTCTATGTTTGTAATTAAAATAAACACCAGAAAATGTTTTTTTAAAAACTAGAAAGAAGGAAATGAAATCCCTTAGAAGCATGCGAACCAATACCTTCTTTAGGAACTCTCGGAAATCCAATGAGGGCTGGATCTGCTTATCTTGTGGAACTGAGAATCAAATTCTAAGAGACAAGATCTCGAAATAATCTTTCTTTGCAAAATATCAGAGCAACAAGTCAAATGAATTATATGGGTAAAATACGGGAAAAAACAAAATACGAAAAGATTAAGCAAATAACTGCGCATCTGGACAGTAGCAAAAAAATATGGTGTCGAGGCCATTAAAACAGTCAACAAGCCGAAAATCTGATTTTATTACAGTTCTTGGCACTTATCAAGCAAACATTCGATGTGCTGGGATTTACTAGTCAAAAGATAGCTAGGGACGAATAAGGTGTCAAAAGATAGCTAGGGACGAATAATAACTTCAGGCAACAAAGCCAGATATTACACCAGGACTTTGTCAAGCGAAGTTCCTAGGCCATAACGCCACCTCAATCGCTATTTAGAGCAGCTAACATCTTCACAACTCAGATAATTTCTACAAAAAGCGTAAACAAATGTGACATGAACTAACTCAATCGGAGTCGGAATCGATTGCTGCTCGTCTCCTATCGAACTATAAGGAAATTGAGAATTTTCGGCAGTCTTTGGAAATTTTTTTTGGAAATTTTCTACTGAAGTTCGCAAAGTCTCCGTTTAGAAAATGTATGAGAATACACATACCTTAACAGTTGTTGTTTGTCGAGTATTTTCTGAAAAACGACTCAGCAACTGCCTCAACGTCTCGTCATCCATTTTACCCACTATCTGCCCTCTTCTGAATAGAATACACATAGCTGAGATCATTTAAAATTAGTGCTTCTTGAAGAAATGGAAGACTGACACTAACAACTGATAAAGAACGACTTGTCGACTACTCTATAACGAATCAGGAATGCATTACTATCAGAAAAGATCACAGAATTATTCTGATATTTGAGTTCCGGTGGATGAACTAAACAAGGCCACTTTCATAGGCTTAGGAGACATTACCAAGTCAACTTCTTGTATCAACGAATGTACAAATCTTGAAGCAATGGAGAAGATTCAAGAGTCGCAGTTTCCATCTTATTTTTCAAGTTTCACGAACATGAAAGATGAGATGAAATAAAATTGCAATTCTTGAACCTGCTTGTGTGGCAGTATCACAGATGTGGGAAGAAGTGACTTGGGATAGCTTTCCGTACTAAAAAAAAGCTGTAGCTAGAACATCCTACCTTGCCATTTGTACCATCATATTTTCCACCATCCTGGCTTTCTCTGGTTTTGCTGCAGATAAATTGCTCAATCGAGCCATTGCATTTTGATCAAGAACCTACAATTCAAGAAATATTAGGTGTAACAAGTTGCTTACTTGATTGAAAATCATAATGGATGCCTGAAATCCAAAAAGCATCTTAGAACAAACAGTATAATGACAATGTTCAACGATCTTCGCATGGGTAATTTCCGAGTTATGTTAACAATAACAACAACAACAACAACAGCAACAATGATAGCAGAGCCAATTGCTTCGGCTGAATCCAACGAGATAAAACAGATGAAAAAGTGGCAAACCTGTGAAAGGATGGCATTCTTCATGTTTTCCTCCCGTTCAGCAGCTTCTTTTGCTTTTTCAGCCTGTGCATTTCCTACTCCACCACCCATTTTCTCCTAAAAATAAAATATAATTGCTGGAAGTTGTTTACCAGCAATTGCTAATATACATAAATTTGGGAATATTTTAACTTGTAAAATAACGAAAATAATTTAATAAATGAAACTTGCTAAGAGATGTTTTTATCATTTGGAATGTTATTGAAGAGTTTTTATGGAATTTCCAATTGTCTTATTTTATGATAAGAAGAATAAGAAAGATATCGAATGTGGTAACAGATACTTTACCTCTTGCAACTTTTTAATGCTATCATCGGCCATTTTCTTGATAAGCTCCAAGTACCTACAAAGAAAACACTTTTCTCATGAGTGGTACCAACACAAGTTATCATCATATCTGATAATTAGCAATGCAACAGCGGAACAAGCAACTGTCATAAGAACCTTATTAATAACCTGAATGACCTGAATCTAACAACTTAGCCACATATCACCACATACTAAGTTATACTATTCTAGCTTTTCCTTACACAACATATATGAATGTATACGAAAGATATATGTATATATGATCAAGAATATAACAGAAAATGAGAATTAGTAATTTCATCTTCTCATCAGCCCACCGCTTCATTACACTAGTACAAGCCCTGAGATAGCCGGGTCAAAAGGTTAGCTAAAGCCATCCACATCACTGAGTAAGCCGTAACCCTACCGTCAACAATCGGTAGAAAGTAGCAACTCGGGCATTGCTCCAGTACTAATCACTTTGAAAAATGTGATGGATTTGATGTCTCGTGAATTTCAAATTCACTTCTGAATCTAACATGTGTAAGTACCAATTGTTGGGAAAAAATCGAAGTAATATATCGAAATAACTAAAGTATTTTGTCAATATCTTGCACTAATTAAAGTAAAC